TTACCTTTGCCAACTTTCTTTTTATTCATTATGCAGAAGTTGCTCGAACTAGAATTTGCGTTTCATTACAGAATCGTGATTTCATGTGGGTTAAACATTACTTATTGTCATTCGGACGCATTTTCAAAAAACGATAGGCAATACTCCGAAAAAGTGTTAGATTCGTTACTATACATTTATGTTCCGGCCGCATTTTTTAATCCGATTCATGAAGTTGATCTTAATCAAAAATTAACCATACGCTCATACTAACCAGTCGAGATAATTTTTAATTATAACTCCTAAATGGATTTCGGAATTCGAAGACTAAAGTTCATATTTCAGTATATACGTTCGGATAAAATGGATTTATCCATATCTGCCCATCCGTTAGCTCCGATAGATATTCGGATAACAAAGAATTATGTATTATTGTGCATACATTATACGTAATGATTTTTATCTCGTATTATGACAATAAATCCGAATTAAAATTCAATCAACCCAATGAAGACTTGTAAATAACGTTTCCATTATGTAATCTTTCGTGATCTTGATATAACGAATGAGATTATGCTAATTAAAGCTCAAATTTTTTTATTTACGTCACTATGTATTTAGAAATCAAATAGAGTAAAAATGATCCAAACTGAAAAGTAATTGTAGCATGAATAGTATGCGGTAGCAGATATCGAAATCGAAGGTGATCTAATATTGAAATTTATGAAAAATACGATAGACAAAAAAAATGCAATAGAAAGTTTTATTTGCAATTATAGAAAAGCTTACAATAGCTCGCAATATATCAACAGGAATAATACTTCACTATCTCAAATACTTTACGATTATGTAGTAAAATACCAATTTCTCGTATTAATGAATGAAAAGAAAATTAGCAAGAGGTAAAAAAAATTGCATTCTCATGACAATAGCTGTAAACCCACCTGAAAAAGTATTAAAGTACTTTACGATTCTGTAATGAAACGCAAATTCTAGTTCGAGCAACTTCTGCATAATGAATAAAAAGAAAGTTGGCAAAGGTAA